CCGGTAAAAACTATGAAAAAATCAAAACCCTGTCTCTATCATATCTCGAAACATGACTGGTTATTTGAGCCACTATTAAGCCAAGTCAACCCAAGTGAAAGCTGTAACCTTTGAGCAATGCAGACCATGTTACTCAGTGCTGGCATGATCCACAAGTTTTCAGTGCGTGCAGGTATTTTGATTTAAATGGTTTAATTGGTCAGATTCATTTCAGCTGTAAGCAAATTCTCTCCAATATTTCAATTGAATATTTTGTCCCCAAATGTTCATTTCTTAAATAGTCTTTGATACTTAGACGTATTTCTGTTAAACGGAACTAAGCGCAAATTTGAATTCCTTTTGAGGAATACAGAATGCAGGATAGCGCGTTCTGTCAAAACGGAACTAAGCGCCATGGAAAAACATTGCGAGTGTAGGACGGAATGAGCCCGGCTCCCGGTTCCGCCGCCAATCCAAGCCCCCCTCTACCTTCCTTCCCCTATAGTGCTTAGTTTTGTTTGACAGAAATACGTCCAGTTAATCAGTAGCTGTAATAGGAAACACAAAATGCTAAAACTTGACCCAACTTTAAAAAGAAAAGGAAAAAACGAAAAACAACACAAGTATCTTCCTTCTACCCTGCTCAATGAAAATTTGACCTTTCTCTGTGTCATTGAAAATATTTCAGCAGGGAGTTCAATGAGAGCAACAATACAAATTATATTTTGCTGTGTATTTCCCTCTCTCAGCCTTTTTGGTCTTATCTAAAGTAACTAATAAAACTGTAATGTAAATTCTGTTCACCTCTCTTTTTCAAGTGGCAGAAACTTTATGAATCAAACAGTAAAATGATCGCAGATTTTGATGATATAAGGCAAACATGTGCTGTTGTTACGTTGCAAACTCAAATTGTATGGAGGTTTTTCGCTTAGTCAGTAAACTATTTAAGATCAGTTTTGTACAAATGTACATGCATAAATTCAACCATACTGAGATTTCTTGTTCATTCATCACTAATTAAAAAAGCTCAGATGATGCACTGCAGCTTACAATCAATTGTAGATGTTTCGATGGAGAGTGTTTAGGCATGATCAATTATTTATACCAACTGTCAGTGTTCTTTTTCATACCTTAAAAAAAGTTTAATTTTTAAAAATCATTCTTTTTCAATCCCTGTAATCACCAAATCATGAGATGACTTCTAGCATTGCAAATAATTTAAGCTCACCGAATAGCTTTCTCGTTAAAATCAACATCCATCACGCCAATAGCAATGCGAATTGAAATCAGAGAGCATTAATTTATGATTAAGTTGCTTACAACATCTCATCATTCTTCTGATGTAAGGCCATGTCTTTATTTCCAAATGCGCCCAGAAAGCAGGGATTTTTAAGGATAACAGGACTCACATAAATATCAAGACTGCAGTGATAGCAAAGAGAGCAGTAAGTGCAACAATGAGAAAACGGGCTCAGAAGCATCTGACCGGAAAATTTTATCGAAGGAAGCCTCCGTTTTTTGTCAAATTGCCACTAATCATCCAATAGACTCATAGGAATCGTTTGGATGATTAAAAATCGCCCGATTTATTTTCAATTCCCTAAAGAGTGTATTATTCATTATCATGTCAGGCTAGTGTTAGAGAAGACAGCCTTAATTGCTATCTTCTGCGTACTTTTAAGGTTTGCGTTTTGGACACACAACAAACACATTTTCAGGTTAGAAATTGGCAGAGGAGGGCGGCTTTGTACTTGAAAACACTGTTTTCATTGGTTTTCTGAAGGAATAATGTCACTTATTGCTGTTTCGCCTGAAATTAGGTCATTTTTTGTGCACTTACGGCTTTCTTATAAGTCTCATTTTCATGAAAATAAGATGAATTTTGCTGTTTTAGCTATTTTAGTGATTTCATCTAAAAGATATTAGACGAATTTTGAAGGAAGCTCAATTTTGAAAATTTGACACTTACTGCTCTCTTGGCTATTACGGCAAGAGACAAGCCCTCACATCAGGGAAGACTATCCATGTGCTAAATCTCCGCTCAGCAAGACCTGCCCGGCAAATGATTGCCAAAATGACTGTGAAAACGCTGCCATAGTGTTCTTTTTTTTAGGAACGTTTTGGCATCGTTTTTTTAACCACTTGCGAAGCTTTACTAAAGCAAAGCTCTCTGTGCTATTGACCTAAAAGTTAAGTTTTGATGAGTGGATTTCAGTTTTTTATTTATTTTATGAACTGCGTAATGTATGGCTTCAGTATTGACTGCCTTTGTAATGTTCCTTTACCATGTTCTTCCTTGGAACAAATTGCCATTCTTTTAATTCTCCCTCTCGTAAGTTTTTAGCTTTAACTTCATAGAAATGTCAAACTTGTGCAATTATCTGTAAATTTTCTGCATCACTGTTGCCTGCTCCATATTCTCAGTATCTATGAATCTCTTGGTTATCTTGGTATGTTAATTCAACATACTTTGTTTTTTGTGCAAATAATTAAAAGCAAATGAATATTCAATTTGTCAGGTAGAACTCCAGTCGACCAAATTGCTAATTAAACAAATGAACTTAACTTGAAATAATTTCTGCAGAAAGGAAAATAAAAGTTTAGAGGCCTCTTACTTGAGGGAAAAATGTGATGCAACAATAGATGAAGGATAGAGCACTCACTCAAATATATTATCATGAAGTACTAACAATTTGTAATCGTCCATAAATGAAACATCGAGTTTAGTTAAAAGCATATTAAAATATTTATTCACTGATCCTTTGAATTAAGATGCTCCCATCCTTGTATGATGATTACTATAAAAAAAAATGAAAATAAATACTTAGGGATTTTGTGTCTTAAGCTCAATATCATTCAACTTTTCAATCAACTTTTCCTCTGCTCTGTCAAATGAAAAGTTGGATCGTGTGATATTGAAACGAGAACACAGCAGTTTGATGAAAAGTTGAACGGAAAGTTGAAACGAAATCTTCGGATGGATACCAACTGAAACTGTATCTTTGAGAACTGGAAGCTGACAGAGATAACCAAATCCTTTAGACGATATCACATAGCAACAGCAGTTGAATCAAATTTTGTTGCGTTCAACTTTCCATTCAATTTCTCGTCCGCTTTTGTCGAATGAAAATTTAAATAGTGTGAATTAAGCTTTAAACTTTATCCTGACATGAGGTCCTGTTCTGATTTATGTAATCCGGTATACCTGGAGTTCTTTCGTGCTTCTTTAGTTAATAAGGTATTTGAAAAAAATAATCAGTGATAATAATAATGTTTTAGTACTCATACGAGTTACGATGTATTAATTGTAAATAAATTTAATTTTACTATTCCAAACTAGAAACGGTTTCATCTGATACTCATACTTGCATTCTTGTGAAAATTTGAAATGGGTAATTTGTACATACGTATACATATTGGTATATTTTTCATAACTATTAAGACACCAATCTTTTTTATCTAAAAACTTTGTTGTGACTTGCATTCTCTCTGTCTCTTTTTCTACGTATGGAAAAATTACTTTGATACATAATTCGTTGAAATGAAGATACAACTAACATTTCTTAAGTGAATTAATAATTTTTAATATGATGGGCCTGTCGACCTTCTTGTTGGTACCTTTTCTTTTCTAAAATTCATTTTCTCTGACTTTCATTTAGCCAATTCATCTGGTAATCAAATATTAATTTTTAAGTATTAACTTATTTTTCTTGAGAGTCCTATCATCAATTTGTTTTCTGTTACTGAAGGGAGATAACTCGCAAAACGAAAAAAATCATGAATGTAGGCCTTCATTTTAATATGATTGCACTATGCTCCTGGAAGACACCCATTCATCAGTTCATTTCTCGCCCTTTAAGTATGCTGTCTCCGCCTAGGTAAAATGCTTTGAGAGTCATACTTTAGTTTTGCACACATCAAGAGGTTTTGTTGTATTGTAACCTCTTTCTCAGCGAACATCGATGGTTTTTTAATTCAAGCACTTTGTTAATTTTTGAATCATTTTCCATCAAGTTATACTATTTCTTTGTAAGAAAATTTAAATGATACATTCCACTGGAATCATTTTTTTCTTTCTTTTTTTCTTTATTTTTAAGTGTCAGCTCAACATCTCACTTCCTTTTTTGTTTCCTTCTTTCCCTCTTTCTCTCCCTTTTCATCTCTCACCTAGTGTTAAAGTTTCCTCAAACCAGGGGAATTGCTCCTTAGCTCAGTTATTCGATCCATTAAAATGACCCTCATGCCACTTGATTTTTCACTCTCTCTCTCCTTTCTTTCTTCTTTTTTGTTTGTGTGTGTGTGTGTGTGATCAGTTCAGTTCAGATATGTTGACAATTGTTTACATTCGATTTGGAGCCGGTAGCCAGCTGTGATCACTAAGTGACCAAGGGCCATGCTGCCACTGGTGCAGGTTTTTAGAAAAGGAAGGATTAGGATTGAAGTTTTATTCTTTTCTTTGACTCAATCGGATAAAGAGAGGCGTTAAATTTAGCTCTCTATAGATAGAAATGGGCATCTATTTCACATTTGAAATAGTTTTTCTTCGCTTTTTTTCGCGAGTTTTTTACAGGAGATAATGTGCACCTATTTAAGCTCAAAGCTACTTTTAACATATTTTTTCCGAAATATTACTCAGTGCTTTCTGATTTGATCCAATTTTTTCCAAGTCAGTATGGAGTGACTCGCTTGAATCGAAAGGAAAGGCGCAGAGGGTTGGAGGCCCAGTTGGCAGCAGGCCCTTGCCTGTTTGTGACCTGTTGCTCTAGCAAGCCTGTAGCAGCTAGTAACTAGATAAACCTACCTATCTAGTGCTGGAAAAAAAAAACTTGATAAAAATGTAATCGTATTAAAACTGTAAAAAGACAATCAACCATGTGTTCCTGCTGTGATCAACTGGATGTACTTTCTCGATGTTGAACATCATCCTCTCTTCTCTTCTTTTACCCTCAAACTCGAAATAACATTAAATTATGTTCAAGCAGTATATATTCTACTCCTCTCCAGATCTGAGTTCTAAAGGATTGTACATAATCTATCCCAAGCACCTATTAAAGTCAACCATGTATAGGTGCAGCTATTTCTGCAAATATTTTCAAAATTTACCTTCTTCAGGCCACATAAAAAGTTCATATAGACGTCATGAAACAGGTCAGTTCGATTAAGAAGAGTGTAGAATATGATAAAGTTACTACTTTTTTTAGGTATTCCTGTATTATTTCAAAATAAACCGAGTTCATTAGTTTAATTCATTATCTTCTGAAATGAAGTTCCTCTAGATAAACGAAGTCTTCATTGTTTTTCAATCACCCATATAATTCATTATGCTAAATTTTCATCTAATCAGTGCATAAAGACCGAAAGTAAAAAATCCAGCTTCATTTCATGAACAACTTACTCCCAGAGGGAAATTTGAATGAAAGCTACTATTTCGAATATCTAAATCAGGAAGTTAAAAAGGGACCTTTCACGGATACTTTTTTTCGTATTTTTTTTTCTTGCTTTAAAATCTTGTTGTAAGTAGGTATATTATCGATGAATTGTGTTAACTAAATTAAAGTAAAAGCAATAATGATCATACTTTTTTAAAAAAATTTTCTATTAATCTTAATTAATCGTCACTGTAAAGTTACCTGTCCTCTCAAATTGTGATTATTTTTTATCTTGAGTTCTTTGAACAACTTGTAAATGCATATCATTTCCATGATTATGAGTTTAAAGATTTATTTTATGATAATAATTCTAATTATTGTTCTCATTATAATTTACATGTTTTTGTTTTTGTTTCATTATCTCCAACTTATTATTGTTATGAGAATTTATTCTGTCATGTTGCTTATGAGATACTATTTTCGATTTTCAGTCTGTACTTCTTTTATCCAGTTTTTGTTCTTTCTCTCTCTGTCCCTCTCTTTCTCTAAAAACCACTGCTGTTGTTCTTTGCATTATTATTTTATATTACTCATTAATTTCATTATTTTTATTATTGTTATCTTCATTGAAAATGTAGTTTATTGACTGTAATTTATTCTTGAAAAGCTTATTTCAACCTAAGTCCCACTGATAATTCAAGAAGAAAAGAGAATTATATTTGTTGATTAAAACTCTCTTTATTATTTTCTCTTAAGCAGAATTCTAACCCAGTTACATCCTTTTATTCATTTATTTTTAATAGCATTAGCACAGGTGTAATTTTTGAAAAATGAGAAAAATTGATCTGGATTTGCATAAACGTTAAGGAAACATCATACAGGAAATCAATTGAGAAAATCCAAAATATTTCAATGCAGATTTTTTATCTTAATGATGAAGAGCAATGTCTTATATGAAATAGATCCACAGTGGTTTTCAAAACAGGCAAAAAGCGCCATAGCATATACAATGTAAAACCACTAATGTATGTAATGTAATGTTTTCCCACTTGCTAGTGACGAACTATATCTGCCTCCCTGAAAAAAACCTTTAATTCAGGTAACCAGATACATACATCAACAGTGAAACAGCAAGAATACAATCTTGGTTTGCGATGTTGTAGAATGGGAAAATGCTCAATTTCTTGAAAGTTTTCCTGATTTTTCTTTTCTACGTAAAATGTATTCTGTGAGAATTTCAAACTATAGGGTTGGTGCGCTCACCTATAATGAAATAAATTGAAAACGGAAATTTTGAAACACCCCAAACGAGACAAGCATCCTTGTGGTTTCACCATCGCTATGCACACTAAACTACTATCCCCTTGACTTACAGTGCTTAGGGACAATGCTTGGAAAAGCATAAAAATAAAAAAATGGTTGGAAGCTCAACAAACAAATTTCTTAGAAAAGGGAAGAAGACAGTTTATTTTCTTACATAATTTTAGTACTTGTTTTGGAAAAATTTGATGTGTCAACATTGAATTCTGAAATCTTGAACACACATATTCACAAGCGTACCTAGGCCAGTAACAAAAGTAACATAATTTAAGGACTACCGATGGTTAAAAAGATCTGATTTGCAGTTCTTGCAGGTATTGATGCAAACTTTCCATTAATCAAAAATAAAAGTGATTTATGAAAATTGTTGGGCAACTTTTGAACTTGAAATTTGCTTTCAAATGTCCGCACTAGTTTATTATATTACCAGAACATTCCCCCTTTACACAGTTTGATGGAGCTTCCTTTGACAATTTGTTCGTTTTTTAAAACATTTTACTTAACTGAAAAGAATTGTAGTAAATTAGTGTGGTAGTAGAAAGGAAACTGTCTTTGGGGACAGGAGGAAGTATTTGAGGACAATTCAGTTTTCATCCCAGAAACGCTTTTAGCGATTCAAAGTTTTACATACTCAAGTACAATAAACCCTACTTCAAGGTTTTCATTCCCAAATGCGTGGGCATTGTCTCAATCTGTGGATCTTAATTTGTTGTGAAGATACTTTTCCTCTTTCCTCAGTAACTCAATCTTAGCCTCATTATTATGAGCCTCAAATTTTTTACCTTACACTTAAGGGAATTATTTCTGATGCTTGTGTGTATGCAGCTTAATTTAGGAAAACTTTTCAAGATAGGAAAGTTTTAGTAGGAAGCCCCTGTCTTAAAAGACAAACCAAACTCAGACTATCCTGCGAATACATTTGGAGGGATAATTTCTCAGACTAGTAGGGAATGCTGTGTTTCCTGTCCCCATATTATTCTCTAATTACCTCTCAACTTAAAGGACTCAATCAAGCTTTTGGTGGTGTCTTCTGTGCTGGCAGACTGTTACGGTTAAACATTGTTTTTGGGTTCTTTACATTATTGGCAGACACAGTGCCACCTAATGAAAGAGTAACTGTGTTGGGATCTACACATTGATAGCTTTTAGCATCATAGACTTTGCCATCCTCACACTTGTATAACCGCGGTCTTAGCCCATCTTTTTCCATAACACAGACAAAATAAATGCTAGGATTTTCGATTAAGGATCCAGTCCGTAGAGCTTTCTTACACTTGGGCACAGGGCTGTCCACACATACCCTGTCGGTCAACTTGAATCGGCAATTATTGGCAAAGGAATCGTAAGCCTTCCCCAATGGACATTCATAACGGGTACTTTTCATTGATCCATCATCCAATGTTGTACATCTGTGGTATGATGTGCAGTCGTAAGGATCAGGAAAATTTCCCTCAGCCTGCAAAAAGATAAAGAAAACCATTCACTTTTGAATCCTCTCATCCCTGCAGGAGCACCTACCCATTTTAGGTAAGTACGAGTATGCAAGCATCGGAAACAAACCGTTTAAAAATAAATCCTAAGTTTTGAACCAATGCAAAGAATCAACCGGCCATGATACTAAGATCTGACAATTGTGAGCATGCTCGAAAATTCGCGATTGTCAGGACACGTCAACTCGTGGAGCAAATTGGACCAGAAATTCGGACTTCTCGACTCATTCTACAGGGGACTCGCTTCATTTCAGCCCAATCGGAGAACTTTCGATTTTGACCCCTGAATTTTAGTCCATGTAACCCCTGTATATTTTTCTCGATTTTGGACGGGGAAAAAAATTTCGAGATTAGTGTCGAATCCTACGTAGTTTGAGGCGTAGAATCGATTGCGCACGGTCCCGAGACGCGGCGAGGCTTCCTGAACCGAGAAACGGTCAAAAACGAGCGTTTTTGATCCTTTCGAGCATGCTCGAATATCCGCGGTTATCCGCGATAGTGAGGACGGGTCGACTCGTGGAGCGTTTTGGACCAGAAATTCGGACTTCCCGACTCATTCTACAGGGGACTCGCTTCATTTCAGCCCGATCGGAGAACTTTCGATTTTGACCCCTGAATTTTAGTCCATGTACCTAACCCCTGTCGATTTTTCTCGATTTTGGACGGGAAAAAAAATTTCGAGATTAGTGTCGAATCCTACGTAGTTTGAGGCGTAGAATCGATTGCGCACGGTCCCGAGACGCGGCGAGGCTTCCTGATCCGACATACGGTCATAGACGAGTATTGCGGGCCAACATTGTCCGAGTGCTTTCGTATGTTTACGTCTTGTCACCTTTGTTCCCTTTAAATTCAAAGGACGGTATGCCCTTAGCTGGTAAAAATTGGCAGTACTTAGAATCTGTGTTCCAAAATACCATAGACCTACAGCCGACTGTAAGATTTCCAATAGCCTCTATAGCTTGCAACACAATTTCTTATAGCGTTTTATAGCCGATGGCGATTAAGCAACAACCTGACGATCTAAAGTGTATGCTAAACGTTACAAATTATGGATGCTAGGACTTAGTGAGTTTTTGGACTACCGCTCCCTTTTTGGGCCGTAGTATCTTGATTTATTTTGCGAGGAAAGCTCCGTACTTTTGAAGGATGCCTGCCATTCCTAATATGTTGGGGCGCCTTCAATTTCGTACGATACTGTGCAATACCTCTGGTGTGAAATAGTTGCTTCAAGCGCCGTGGTACGCTGCGGCGCGGCGCGGCGGGCGGGCAGCAAGCACGAAACGCGCATTGGCGCCTACAAACCTAACAGGGATACTTCACGCATTGCGCAATGCGTGAAGTATCCCTGTTAGGTTTGTAGGCGCCAGTGCGCCGCCACTCCGCTTTGTGTTAGGCTCTAATATTTAATCTTGTGGAGTCAGCGTTGTTCAACTCATGACTTTGAAATGTTTGCACACTCTGTACGGATTATTCTCATTTTAAATGATGAAAACAAATATGTAATAAAGGAAAATATAATGTGCGTTTTGTAAATGTTATGGTGATTCCGTACAAACTTAAGGATTTACAAAGCACACAAATTTTTACACAATTTCTTATAGCGTTTTATAGCTGATGGCGAAAAAGTAACAGCCAGGCGATAAAGTGCAAAGCCCGGCGACAGGAACTATAGCCCGGCTGTTTAATTTTTTATCGCTTCGTGGAGCCCGGCCGTATGATTTTTTCCACTTTCTAAAGCCAGCTATATGATTTTCTATCGCCTTCTTCAGTCGGCTATAAGAACTCCTATGGTATTTTAAAACGCAGCTCCTATATCGCCAATTTTTACCAGGGTGATTACCTTTCATCGCTGCGTTGTGGCTCCTCAACTTGATATAATATTAAAGTTCTATTTAGGTGCTACGGCACCTAAATGGGGTGCTCTTTGATACCATAATTAGAGACAAGACGCTGTGAACCGAACGTTCGTGCTGAGTTGTTATTTCGTTGTAAAAGATGAAGCTAACAATTTTGCATTTGCGCTATAATATTTAGACCAGTATTTTTCAGAAGATTGAAAATTGCACTCCGTTTTACTAACAAAGCAGCCGATTGAAACGATTACAGCATGAAGCGCCTTCAAATTCATGGGATACTTTAAGCCGTCCTCTACATTATCTTATTCGTTCCCTAGCCGATCCGAGCTTACAGAGCCCACAAACTTTGGCCTTTTCTGTAAGAGATTTTAATTACACTGGCCTAACCTTCCTTTCCCCCAATTTCTTTAAAAAAGAATCAAGACAACGCTGAGAAAACAGCTTGAAAAATGATGTATTTTCTTCGGAAAATACACTTAAAAATTTCGAGAGTTTTTTTTAGTTGCGTCGGCTGGGTCATACGCCGAAAAAATTAATTTGAGGGAGGCAGGGTTTTCAGTTTTGTGCACGTTTTTTTTTTTCAAAAATTTTTTTCTCCGGCTCGGTTTGTTACGTAACGCTGGTCTTGACCCTACCCTCTCCCTTTGTAATGCACTGTAACGCTGGCTCAACACCACCCCCCCCCCTCCCTAAAAATGTTACGGAATACTTGAACAGCCTCCTATGAGTGAATCGCTCAGAGGATTTTTAAGAAACGGAGCTGTTGAAGGAACGATGAATAAAGCCCTACCCAAGTAGCATTTCTTGACCGGAAAATTGCTATATTTTGAAATTAAATTGCGATTTCTTTTTACTATTTTTGGCGATAAAATTTCTAAGATCATCAACATCACTGAGCTATTACCCGCAATCTTGTCGCGGTTTTATCGCTTTAAGTTCGGTCCGATAAAATCGAAATTTCATCCCAATTTATCACGATTTTTTGTTCGATTATAATGCGATGAATCGCCGTCGATAAAATTGCGGGTTTAATGCAATTTTTCGTGATGAAATCGGAACTAAGCGCAATTTTTAATTCGATAATATTCCGATACATCGACATCGATAAAATTTTGACACATTCTCAGATCAAGTCGCATCATATCGCGATCACGGTATTGAAAAAAAAGAAATACGGGCTATATAGACATACTATCCGTTCCGAGCTAAGAGGCTGAAAGTTCTGGGTGCCAGAGCCGTAGCTTTGACTGCTCCGGATGATGCACCCGGAATTTTCGGCTTCTGAGCCCAGAAATCGGACGGTACACTGGAAAAAAAAACACATTGGAACTAGAGTCCAGACTCTTGAAAACATTGACAAGAAGACATACTCTTGATTCAATCGGATTTTTGCTTGATCAAAACGAAATCCGCTTAAATTAAGAGGCTTGGTCCTTGATTTAAGCTAGATTCTGATTGAATTAATACAGTAGATATCGGTTAATACGACATCGGTTAATACGACATATCGGCTAATACGACGGATTTCGTTTTCCCCGGCGAAACTCCATAAGTTAATACGACAACGGTTAATACGACATATCGGCTAATACGACGAAATCCCGTGACCCCTTGAATGTCGTATTAACCGATATCTACTGTAGTACTTTTTCTTGTCGATGTTTTTAAGAGTCTGGACTCTAGATCCGATGTGTTTTTTCTTCCAGTGTATGTCTAAACAACCCGTAAGTACGGTTCCCATGGCCGGATTTTTTTTTTTTTTTTTTTTTTTTTTTTTTTTTTTTTTTTTTTTTTTTTTTTTTTTTTTNTTTTTTTTTTTTTTTTTTTTTTTTTTTTTTTTAAGTGCTACCTGGATGGGGAGGAATGGAGAGAGAGGAGGGACAAACCTGGCACTTGATTTCTTGGAGGCCAAAAATATCGCAGTCCCTCTTGTTTGTTGAGCAACCTCCGGCGGCGACGTTGCAGTAGAAGCCCTCGGCGTTGGAGCAAGTCTGGAGCATGGTCGGCTTGAGGGTCCCGTTCCCGTCGTTTCTGCAGAAGTAGAGCGACTGGCAGTCGCTGCAGATGAACCCTGGCTTCAGACAAGCTGACATGTATTTCACCGTCCCGGGCTGCTCTTCCTCAATGTACGTCCACTGGACGTCACCTTCCTTCCCAACTGCTTTCCCAAACTGAAAAAAAAACGAAACAAATTGCATCTCATTTTTCTGCACGAGCCTCAACAGAAAGGAATCGGACTGTCCCTGAATCATTACTGTAATTTCCATTGAGCTCATAGAGTCGTAATGTAATGGGAAGGGGTGGTTTCCAGGTAACTGAAATAGTTTCGTTGCCGTAACAGACAACACATTTTTCGGTCATATTTTTAGTAATATTGATGATCACTCGATTTTTTTTTGCATTAATCTACACAAGGTTACATGTTATACCGCTTTTCAAAGATTTATCGCTCTACTTTTCAATGTAAATATATAAATAGCCGAAAATGTGCTGTCTATTACCATGACTTTTTATCGAGTAATAGACAGCACATTTTCGGAATTCACATAGGTAATATTGATTGAGAAGTAGAGCAAAAAATAGAGCGTTATAATACGTAACCATTAGAAGATTAATGTGAAAAAATTCAAGTGATTATCATTTCTACTAAAAATGCGATCGAAAAATGTGTTGTCTGTTACGACGACAAAACTATTCCAGTTATCGTGAAACCTCCCGAAAGCTGACGCTATGTTCTGGTCGATGGGTTCTAGTATATTTCTCTGCCTGGTAAATTTTCTCTGCATAAGAAGGGGAGGAGAATGCAAAAATTGGGTATCATATTTACTATAATCATATTTATATATTATATTATATATTATATATCATATTTATACATATCCTCAAATACATTTATTCATGAGGAAATTTTTCGCTCGAATCCCATGCGCGCCGATAGGCATAAACGCGATCTGACACTCCATTCAAAATTCTGGAAGCCCGTTTAAAAACGGGAAAGAAACCTTCCGTTACTCTCGCGCGCAGAAGCTTTATTGGTTGCATTTTGATTGATATCTCCTTGAGATGTCTCAAGAGAAAAATGAAAACGGGTGAACTATCAAGACGGGAAGATCAGAGATGACATGACTCCTGGAGAGGTTTCGAGTCGTCTATTTGTTCGCTCGAACGTTTTTTCAAGTGAGCTCAGCTCCGAGAATCCCGCGTATTCCGCATGAATGTGATTCACTCATTTGAATAGCTTCTCGCCTCCCAGGTTTCCCTGTGCTCCTTCACAGAAACCTCTTACTAGTTGCCAGCAATAAATCATCGTATAGGACATTTGAATCAAATAAATTAGCCTCGCGTGGGGCCATGTTAAAATTATTCATTTTTTTTTTTTACAAAATAAACCGCCAGACCTCAGTTGAAATTTTTCTTTCGTGGTTGAAACTGAGGGCACCGATATACCAGGAGCCACCAACAATCTTGGCCAATACAGAATTTTGAAAAAAATAAAATAATAATAATAATAATAATAATAATAATAATAATAATAATAATAATAAAAAAGTAACAGGAATCAAATTCAAGCAATCAATTTTTTCAAAATCTCTATACAGTTGCACAACATTGAAACATTTCCAAATAATCAGACTTTTCCCAATTTGTATTTATTTACTCCCTAATCCAACCGCGTTACGCAGAAAGGAACCGAGCCACACTGCCTTTTACTGAGTAATTTAATGTTTTACAAGAGAACATTAGTGCGGATTTTTTGCAATTTTTTTTAATTACAGGTATAAAATAAATCGGATTCAGAAAAAAAAATTACAAACGAAGAAAGGCAACAATACGACGGTGTAAGTCGGCAATCACATAACTCGGTTTGCGACGTCGCAGACTTCCTGTCATACTTTATTTTTTCAACGGGAAACTACTCAACGGCAAGTCTTTAAAAGTGCCGTGATTTTTCTTCTCAGTGCGAAAAAAATTCTGCAAAAAATTCAAGGAATGATGTCAATTTGTTCTCCTTTGAAAAAATAACATAGAGGCGGAGATTTTCGGACACCGCAAACGAATTATGTGATTGCCGACTTACACCGTCGAATATCTCTCATTTTCCTGATAGTATTGTAATTTCTAATTTTGTCGTCTCTCTGTGATACAAGAGACAGCACCTTCAATTATTCAAGTTAAGAGAGAAACCAAACACGCAATTTGGCCTGGAACGGCGCGGCGCAGAGAGCAATGATGACGAGGACTTGAGATGAGATTGATGAAAAGGAGAAGCCCTCGGCGCGGTGGTCAGTATGTAACACATATTAGCGCCTACAAGACTGCATGAATACTTCACGCATTGTGTCAAACACAGTGCGGTCAACAGCGGTCGGCGTGAAACACATAGCGCCTACAAGACTTCATGAATACTTCAATCATTGCGCCAAACACAGTACGGCCATGCAGCGTGGCGCGGCGCAGCGGTGGAAGTTAAATTATTTGGACCTCGTTAAACAGAAAGGAACCAAGCCACATCAGCTATTGCCAAATTTAATTGGGCAATTTAATTTTTTACATGAAAACGGTTGTGTGGATTTTCGTGCAAATTTCAGTGAAAATTCTCCGTGGTGCGAAGCAAATTCCTTAAAATTTTCAAAGAAATCCGAACAACCGTTCTCTCGTAAAAAATTTAATTACCCAGTTAAACTTGGCAATTGCTGATGTGGCTTGGCTCCTTTCTGTTAAACTCGGTCCATTTAACCATATATATGTTAGTTCTTTCATATTTTTTTTTTCCTATGAATGAAGGACCTTGTCCACACAGAGATAGGTTCACGGAACTTGACTTTTGCGCAAAGTTCCATGAACATTTGCTAGTAGTGTTGAGAGGACTTTCGTAAAAACATGTGTCCAACACAAGTAAACGCGTCTTATGCACCCCTCCCCCTCTCAGTCCGGCACGTTCACTTGATGGTTTTTATTGATGTTTCAAAACGAATGAAAAGGGGGCGGCAAATAGAGGCGGCCCATGGGCGGCAAGTAGGTAAATCCGGCCCTGCGTACTATAAAAAAAATTTTCAAAAAAAAAAAAAAAAAAAAAAATCCGCACACCCGTTTTTATGTGAAGAAATAGACTGTCCAATTGAATTTTGCAATAGTTGATGTGGCTTGGTTCCTTTCTACTTGACGCAGTCCAATTGTTTCTCATATTTTTTTAATTTTAAAACCCGGACAGTGAGTGTAATTGTTAAAATATAAAAAACTTCGATGATCCAATCTTGAATCACCCTGAAAATGCACCCACTGTTAAGGTAGCACTAAGCAACATGATGGCAACATTAAGCACTTAAACATAAGAGGCCTACTCGAGTAAACATAGGCATCTTAGTGTTTTTGAAATAATTCAATGTATTAATGAGATCCCATAAAAATTCGATCCCGATTGTCAAGTATGCCTACAATTCTTGAGGATTTATGAACCGAGAGACTCAAAGAACTGGGGCCATGAAAACCGTCTACATTACTTTGAAATCAGAATTGCGAAACTAAACTTGAAAAATGAGGTAGGTGGTATCGAAACACTTCATAGATTACACATAAGGTTGTTAATTTTTCACGTATAAAATGATGAACAGCCTTGTATGCTCACTTGAATGCTATATTTGTGGAAATATAATCAAGTTCAAAACTCATTTGCGAATGAATCGAATAGTTTTATTTTTTTTTTCCTAAAGTACTTTTCCAGACTTCCTTGAAATGCGGCTTACATCACAATTGCTCTTGAACAGGAGGAACTAAATATTTTGTTTGCTCGCGCGGTGCGCGACAGCATGTACTCATTATCGTAATGATGCTCATGAACTGAATCTTGTAGGTTTTCGTGTGTTTAACTTCATCATACTGAGATCGTAAGTTTAAATTGACATACCTTCGAGCAAATTTCACAAAATATGTTTGCCTTGATTATAACAGCTGTCGCGTATACCGCAACGCGTTTTTTCATAGAGATTCTCTATCTCCCTTTCTCCCATATTTTCGGTCTCTCTCTATGAATTTTCAGAACCCAGCTTCGAGGAAGCTTCACTTACTCGTTGCTGTGATCAGTCGTACGCATCTATCTTTATCTTGTTTTTTTGATCGCCAGCGTCACGAGATGGATTGAAAGATAAGACTCTCGCGGGCCTGAGCTCCACGTTGGACGGAGGAGGCTCGGGACGGGACCATGACGGGACTTGGATTTCCACCACGAAGAATCTGGATATTCCAACTGCACAGCCTTCCTTAGTGCTCCTGCTCCTAGTATCTGTCACCTTTGTAACGATTTCATTTTCATAATACACGCGAATACATACGTACCCGCTAAAACATCTCTTCGTATTTTGTTCCGCTCTCCCACGAACTCGCCGCGTCAAAGATTTATTTAGATTTCTCAGTCGGACTAAAACATGAGAAATCCTCTTGACGTGACATGGTGCCGAAACCCTCTAATTGACTTTTCAGCTCAATTCAAACCGTTCGCTTTCCGTTATCATTGCGTGGTATTTTTGCGTGGAATACAAGTGACTAGAATCGACGAAATTCGTTACTCATAATTCGACTAATAATTGGAACAATTTTCTATTTTTTATTCTTCTGCGATATCTACACGGATATCCCACCGTAGAGTCCCTTTATAACCCAGAGTTAAGACAACTCACTTTTGGTTAGGCTGAAAGTGGCCTAAAAAAAAATCCAATTCTGATTGGTTCTCGCTCATGGAGGCCGAAACGAGTGCACCAAGATGGCGGTACCTCGAATGTGAACAAAAGTAATGAAAATATAACTAAATTGTGGTTTATCAAGAGTGAATTGTTATTTTAATCGCACCAAAATGAAAATATATTAAGAAATTATCCACTAATCAATCTAATTTTAAGGTTTTGATCAGTTTTTGTTGATGTTGTTGTTTTTGGATGACAGACATCGGAGGATTCCTTATCCTTATCCCTCAATATCGTTCGTTTGAGTGCACTCGTTTCGGCCTCCATGGCCAGCCAAGGCCGGCTGCCAGTCAGCTGATAATCGAGTTGTCTTAACTCTGGGTTATAAAGGGACTCTATCCCACCGCACGGGTCAAGAGCATACCCCACCGCACGGGTCGAGAGCATACCCCATCGTACGAATACTTAAACGTATTCCAACGTTTCCACTTTGGGTCAATTCTGCGCACAGTCCAGGCTACACTCCATTTTTGGGCACATAGGCATCTTTAATCACTCAGGTTGTACCTTTCTGAGTTACAAATTCCAGTGTGCAAATAACTTCTTTCTTAGTGATTTATCTCTTGTTTCTTTTTTTCCCTTAAAATGTAATGTCTGATTTGAGCGACCCCACGAACTCGCCGCGTCAAAGATTTATTTAGATTTCTCAGTCGGACTAAAACATGAGAAATCCTCTTGACGTGACAACAGCAATGACCGTAATTTTCATTTATGATATCAAGCTTAAGAGGTCACTTACATTCGGCCAATTTCAAGTCAACGAAAAGGAAGACAATTGGATGCGTTATCAATTTTGTATGATTATTTTCATTCATTCTCACAGTATCAGCGAGTAGCATGTTAACTTCTCATTCTCTAAATTTCATTTCATTTGACCAACTTATTGTCCGTTCAATATGAAGAAGATGGTAAATTGGAGATGAAAACGAATTTACATTGTATTCTTTGTGCATGAGGATTTAAAAATTTAAATTCTAGGAAAAGGAAGGAATATTTCTATAGTGGCTATTATCAATACGATAAAGCGCCTTCAAACTGAAGTGATACGACTTTGCCTTCTTGAGAGTTGGAATAGTTGTATCAAAAACTGTACATGAAATGGACCACATTTTGCAATGTGTCATACTACAATTCCTGGTTCAGTTTAGAAACATCGAAGGTGCCATCGGTTTCCCTATGCACGTAAATGTATTTAAGTAGGAGGCAGAAATCTTAGTTCCTGATTATTGTAGAATGTATAGGTAGTCCAAATCAAGAATCAGTGCGGTTCTTGTAGAATCTTAAGCCTTCTCTCGTGCGCATACTTATTTTATACACCACTACTTTCCAAAAAAAAAAAAAAAAAAAAAAAAAAAAAAAAAAAAAAAAAAAGGAGAAAATTTGCACTCGCAATCCATTCTAGCAATATACGTACAATCTTCCTTAATAGACATGTCGAAGGCAATTAGTCAAATCAGGCATTTTATCAAATGCCTTTGCGTAAAATGCCTGGGCATATAGTAGGATTTCTGACAGTTTACGAAATTGTGTAAAGTTTGGACGAAGATCTCACGAGTTTTCAATATTTTGGAAGGAATTAATCATCAAAGCTACCAACTTTTTTGTTCTTTCCCCCTCGAATGCTTATCATTTATTTAAACGTTAAAATTTCAATCATTCTGTGTTTAATGGCACGATCCAAATTTCAAGGTAAATGTTCGTTTAGGAACTAAAAATAGCGTAAAACACTTTCCTATGATGCACAATTTGTGACTTGTAATAGCAGTGAACTATTTTGCCTAAAATTAGGAAACTTTTCAGAATTTCAATATAAGCATAAATATTTGACTATTTGCCTGGGTACTGACAAGATGCCTGATTTAATATATGCCAACGACAGACACATTCCAAACGCATAAATCGAAACTCTTCCACCTGTTGCTCATATAATAGGGAATGTGCATAATTTTAGGAATAAAAAAAATCAAAAAATTGTTTAATTGCCTACGAAAATACGATTTAATTTATTAATATTATATTCATTCCTTACGAGAGAGGTAAGTACAATAAGAGTGTTCCAAAACTATCGTTAGTGACGCCCACATTACAAGGATTAAATAACAGCCATATACCTTTATATTTTGGACCAAAATCCTTTTAGACACAATTTATTTTACTTTCTACCTTTCTTGGGAAACACATAAAAATGCCCCACACACATTGAAGAGCCGCGACTATAAGTCATGAGCCATTCAGCCCTTGTCCACTTTCATCCCCTCACAACTCTTTCAGAGGAAACTTCAACTAAGTTTCACCGCACTTTCACTACCAAATATCGAATGGAAATATCTTAAAAGACACCGGCCACGCCCCTCCTATTCTTCCAAAAAATATTAGAGCCGACTGCACTTTGACGTATCTTATAGATACCTGATATTTAAAATAAAAATGAAACAAATAAAAAAAAAATTAGACACTGGATAAATTAAAATGAAATAGAAGTAAAAAATCATTTAAGAGGAATTAAAACATGAACAAGGGTCCTTCAGTCTCATGTCAATAGTTTACAGTCGGTATTTCAGCGACAGATGAGCGAAACTTATAAAGGCGCATTGATGCAACTATTCGTACTTGATGGATGTCCTGATTGCGTATTCAAAAATGAAGGCGCTCAACCTATCCTCGTTCTTGAACACACGCTGGGACCTATTAGTCTTCAAAATAAGGAATGAGGTGTTCCTCAGGTGAGCATGCAACTATGACAAGAGCCTTTGGAAAAGGCATCAAATCACGTCCGACACAATAACTCAAATTTAAATTAAATACCGAAAAACATGTTTTAAAAAAAGTTGAAAGTTTATCAATTTTTAAATAAACTTTGGAACGATCTTCTCTAAAAACTCATGAGTAATTTAGTTGGTGCACATCGTTGTAAAAAATATACATATACTTTTTATGCTTCATAGGAAATGATGATACTCAAGATTGGTCAGTGTGCCCTCTCGGACTGCTCGGAGCTCAGCTGTTGAAACTTCTTAAGTCTACTGCAATTTTGCAAAGACAGAAATCAACAAATTCTTTCCGATCCAGTAGACTACTATAGCATTACCGTTATCAGTGAGCGGATGATGCATAAACTGATCATTGTAAAGACGGCATAAATAGCGCGTTTGAATCATTTTTTGAAACCAGGAGATGAATTAAAGTACTTTGGCACCTTTTTATTCATTTACCTTCATATTCGGATTGTGAATGGCTTCAATCGGACCATGTTGCTTTTTGGACGCAAAATTTAATATGAATATTTAAAAAAGAATATGGTGACATCTACCATAAGTCTACTTTTTTTTACACAGTGATAACATTTAGTAAAAATAACCAAAATTGTGGTAGTATTCACAAGAACTTTGCTGATACTAATCATGATATGGTAAATGCTACCATAGAGTCTGGTGTTTATTACCATTCTCGTATCACTATGTCAGAGTTTGGTAAAATCTACCATCTTTTTTTCAGTGAAAAATACATTATGGAGAGTACTCACTGCATAGCCGGAAAGGACGGCGACGAAGAATATGATCAGCTGATTGGAGTTTTGTACCATCATTGTGTCGAAAAAATAAAGCTGGGTTCGAAAAGTTCTGCGAGTAGCCGCGGCACCTATATCACGATAGCTTCCGAATTTTGTATCATAGGTGATTTAATGCACGTGGAATAATTCGCACACTGCCTTAATGCACTTTCAGCGAGGGGTGAGGTAATGAAGGAGCACAAGAAATTCCTGGGAAACCGTGACGAAAACAAAGATCCAAGAAAAGCAGGGATTGGGATCTTCGGGCGGCAGCGAAATTGTAAAATTTGAACAACTCGAGTTTGGATAATCCGAGACCACTCGAGCGCGCCAGGCAACTGATTACGGGCGCTACTGTAATCTCGACATCTCGGCGCTTACCTGGGCCAACGCCATTCTTAGCACCCATGCTTTATCACAAGAATTTTTTTTATCGATATTTCCTCTTTTGACGCCGACTCCCATAGATATTGGCTCCTTGGGCTGGAGCCATTTATCGCTGGCTGAGCATTGAAATGCTAATCCTCTTCTCAATTTCCTCACGAGTGTTAGCTAGGATCATGCGCTTCCGGAGAGAAACACCAGAATAGCTGTAGCGTCACTAAAAAAGGCCGAAACCAGAGCCAGATTTAGGGGGTGGCCACATGGGCCGCGGCACATGGCGGAAAATCTAGAAAGCGGCAAATTTTGCAATTTTTTTAAATGTAAGTATAAAAAAATCGGATTTAGAAAAAAAAATTACACACAAGAAAAGGCGACAATATCTCTCATTTCCTGAGAGTATAGTAATTTCTAATTTTGTCGTATTTCAGTAATACAAGAGACAGCACCTTTAGTCGAGTTAAGAGAGAAACCAAACACGCAATTTTGCTTAGAGAGATTTCTCTCTAATTTCTCCCTCGTCATCATTTGATGACGAGGAATTGAGATGAAAAGGAGATGAAGCCCTTGGCGCGGCGGTCAGTATATAACACGTATAAGCGCCTACAAGACTACATTAATACTTCACGCATTGCATTAAACACAGTGCGGTCACTGCGGTCAGCGTGAAAGGCATAGCGCCTACAAGCCTGCGTAAATACTTCACGCATTGCGTTAATACACTGCTTTCAGCAGCGGTCGGCGTGAAACGCACAGCGCCTACAATACTGTAGGAATACTTCACGCATTGCGCCGAACACAGCGTGGTCTGCGCGGCGCGGAGGTGGAAGTCAAAATCATTAAACCACATTTATGTTCGTTCTTTCATAATTTGTTTGTTCATTTCTTATGGATGGAAGGCCTTAACCACGGAGAGATAGGTTTACAGAACTTGACTTTCGCGCAAAGTTCCATGAACATTTGCTAGTAGTGTTGACAGGACTTTCGCAAAAAAACTGTGTCCAACACGAGTAAACGCGCCTCATGCACCCCTCCCCTCCGGCACTTTTATTTGATGGTTTTTATTGATGTTTCAAAATGAATGAGAGGGGGGCGGCAAAATACAGGCGGCAAGTAGGTAAATCCGGCCCTGGCCGAAACGCGACAGAATTTTCGAAATTTTCAAAGTTTGTTAAACATAAGATCTAGGAGTTGATTTTCTTCGCTGAGTGCTTCTTAGCTTAGTGCTTCTTAGCTAGCTAAGATCACACGCGTCTTGTCAGAAAAACCGGTAAAGCTGTAGCGCCACTAAAAAAAATCCAAACCACGACTGAATTTTCGAAATTTTTCAAAATCTGTTTAATTTTTTTTTTTTTTTTATTAATTAAAAAATTGTACAACTAGCCCCTGACGGGGCTATTAATTACATTATTTTTAAGTTTTATACTTATAACTAAAATTTAACTACGGCTAAATTTTTTTGTATTAGCAATAAACCATTCATACCGAACATACCAAATGTCTGTTTCTTTGACCCTACGCTATCTCCTTACATTCAAACGCCATGCATACTGTAATATGGAGTACTAGTATGGGTAAAATAAAATACAAAAATGATTATGCAAATAAACAAAATTACAAAAATTAAACAAAAAGAAAGAGAGAGGACTTAATATACTTTAATTCCGTTACCTATATGTATGTTTTAATGGTCCTACGTTACTCTAAGTGGTATACTTAGGAGTAAAGCAGGGTAATTGTTCACAGCACCACTGCGCTGTCTTTTAAGCTTGTTGCCACGGAGAGACTCCGCGATTAACCAAGCAACCCGAAGGCCAAATCATAAGGCTTGTGCCTCTTGAGCCTTCTTATGGGGTTGTTTACTACAGCCTGCTGAGCCAGCTCGTTCGGATGCATCATGAGTCTCTGGTGATGCCGCCCCGACGCTCGCTCAATAATCTCTTTAACTGACTCTACTTGGAGTTCTTCCATGATGTGATCATTTCTAACAAACCATGGGGCCCCGGAAATCTGTCTAAGTACCTTGCTCTGAAAAGCTTCAATTAGGTACCTATTAGATTTCCGGGTGCATCCACAGATCTCGCACGCATAAGACCAAACTGGCCTCAGCACCTGCTTGTAAAGGAGAACTTTATTGGTCAGGGAGAGCGGGGAGTGGCCCCCCAGAAGCCAATACATTTTTTTAAATTT